CTTCACCAGGACTGACACCGCCATTAACTTCTAAGGGCCCTTCCCAACTGGACGGCCTCTCAGGATCTCTCAGCTGCAGTCTGGCGGAAACACTGTCAGTGACAATATATTACGTGAAAATTTCCTTCGAGATCATTACACCCAATACATTTACAATTTATCATTTGGTGTCTGAACATAGCCATAATCGCGTTGAAAAAAAGGGGAGTCAAAACATAGGGCTGTCGTAACATAGGGCTGTCGTAACATAGGGCTGTCGTAACATAGGGCTGTTGTAACATAGGGCTGTCGTAACATAGGGCCGACCCCGGCACGGAGGGGGATGCTCGCTTTGCCAGTTTATTGTAAATGACCGCAGGTGACCCCCCAATGCAACGCGCGTTCGATTCGAATTAGCCAGATTAAACACGATCGAACACAGTTCGGGTTCTTGGAAAGATGGGAACTTTGCAGCCCAGATTTAGCTACTGTGAGTAGTTTATTTTGCAATGCGACACAGCTCAATAATGCGATAAACTATCAGGTAACTCGTGTTAAATGGAATTTTGCGTTCCTTTGACTATCTGGCAGTAACTGACAGAAAAATGAAAGATAGTCCAGGATCATGGACACTTATTACGTACATCCCGCTCCTTAGTATCTGATAAAAAGGGTACCTACATTTCTGATTCCATCTGAATCATGGCTGAGGACGCTGTCTGCCCAACCTTGTACGTCGCTGCCAACATACCGGCCATTACGGGCCCGGATACTGGCAAGGGTGTCCAGCACGTTCCTTAGTCGTAGTTCGTCTCTGCCGTACAGGATGACTTGTTGAAGGTACTGCTGTCCCAGTTGTAGGTCACTGACGCTTCGTGTCAAGCCGTCTATCTTTCCGTCCAGCTTACGGATCTGATCCTGTATTTCGTTCAGCTGTGCTGTCGTTTGTGCAGACTCGTAGCGGTCCAACGCGAACCCGATTAAGCCGACAACGCCTGTGAAAACGCCAAACGCTGTCGCAGCCCCCGTAGCTGTTATATCGAACCGCTAGAAACAAAACAAATAAGCACCACGTCAAGAAAAGAGTTAATCAGAAAGACTTGTGAGAAAGAGATCAACACATGGCCCAAAAATCAAGAAAAGTGCACCATTTCAGTATTTGGTTTGTCACCTTTTCTCTTTCAATCAACTCATGAGCTGATCCTGAAATACAACAGACAGGGAGCTGCCATGATTACATCATGTAAATGAAGTAAGTCGTTGTTTGCTATCAGGGGTAGATGTTCCACAGAATTGCATTTTAAGCAATTGTTCAGCTTGAGTGTCTATTTTCAGTTAAAAAGACTGTAGATCCAAATTGAGAAAATAAGTTAAATAAATGTGGGATAAAAAAAAATCCCGAACTAATGGTACCTGTTATGTCTCTTTTAGATGAATCAACTTCACATGTCCAGAGGCGGTTGGAGTCAGGTTTAATCTGAGAACCAGGAAGACAGACAACAGGATAGCAGATGCGATCTGATTCTCCACAGATGCAGTTGTCGTGGTCAGATGAGCCCAACTGTTCTCCTGGCTGTAAGAAAACATATTGAAATTTTACTCTTTTAGCGAACAATATATAAACTTACTTTTTCTGGAGAGCACTGATGGTGTTGATGTAGCGATTTAATGTAGCAAATATAATACTACATGTAGCAAATATAATGCAGATGCAGCACGCAGGTCAACACTTGTATATATCAATCCTACTCTTTACTGCTTGCCTTTTTCACTTGATGTTTTTAATTACATGGCGAACTCGGAACCAAAAGGTCCTGGCATGCAACCAATCTTGTGCCCTTGAGAAAGGTACTTTACACTACTTTCGTCACTTAACTCAAGTAAAAATGAGTACTGTCTTGTCCTGTATTCGTCCTCTTGTCCTTGTCCTGTACTCGTCCTCTGGTTTGTGGCGGCATAGAATAAGTTGATATAACTTGATTGTGCTGTCACCATGTCTAGTCATAAAATGTTGGAATTAAAAAAAAAATACCTGGTGGCCTTCACAACCTCCGTTTCTGACAAGTCCGTCGTCAGCTACCCTGCCGAGGTCGACATCATTTTTGTCTGCAACAGCACGAGTCTCTGCATTATCCGCTGTCTTAGGCTCAGGAGCATCTTCTGTGGCATATAGAATTCATCGTATCATAACCGTATCATGTTAGGGCATTCCGATTGTAATCTAGCAGCATCGTTACCGTCAACAACCTGCAGACAAAAATCCAGGACTGAATACAAACAAATATGTGCATAAACTGCCAAGGAATACTTGGCAAAACTACTGGCCTACATCATCGCTATCACCGTACCTTTATGGACACAGAAACCCTGGTACAAATTGAATTACTTTATTGGTAACAGTGGATTGCCCCCGTTAAACAATTGTTGGAAGGCAACGCTATGACTTTAGCCCTGCCATACCTGCCATACTAGGGATTCTCATTAGTTTGCTTTCAAGGAATGCCTAGCTGCAATGCATTCTGGGCAATTATAATGATATAAGACGTTACCAAACAATTACTAATGGCTCTCTTGCAGAAACAAAAACGTATGGTAAAATCTCTTACTACAATCGATAGGTGAAATTTGGCCAAGAGGATTTGAATTTGCAACATATTTATTGGTCAATGTTTTATCCGTTGAATGCATCAATGGAAGCCACTTTGTTTTCATGCGTACATTTCTCACCGAGAGGAGCAGGGCTGCACAATTTTTTTTTTCTGCCAGATAAAAGAGATACTAGGAAAAAAAGGGAGAGGCAATGAATTTTACAGAACTTCGGGGCGTTTTCGTAAATGATTTTAAACTCCCTTCAAGTGAGATTTAATGTTTGAAGCTGTCTGCTAGATGTGGATAATCATAAGTAAACCATGAAACTTACCTTGCAGTATCTGAAGAAGGCTCTTCTCCAGCATGCTCATGTCTACGTCGTTTTTATTGTTCTCAGCTACAGTGTCATCAGCTAATACGGTGTGGAGACAATGAGTACAAAATCTAGCTGGTTGACATATAATTTTGCATTACATTTAGTTACATGTACGGCTAGGCTACATGTAATATAGGATATACTTAAGAAAAGTCGTTAGTAATTGTTATTTAAAACTCATAAAGAGCTTTACTAAGAATGCTAGTAGTAGTGTCCGCTGATACCCAAATAAAGTTTCTCAATCCTTTAATTACTGAATATAATCCTATGTCCGAAACAATTAATATGAAAATAGCACGGGGTAAGAGTTTTGGTTTACAAAGGTAAATAGGTCTCAGATTGTCTCAGATTATAATTGAATTTCTGATTTATTTTCTTAGACTGGTGCGGTTTATCCAAGACGGGTTTGTACATACAACTCCTTTAACCAATTGTACTATACTCGTGTGATGAATGACTGGAGGATTGTCTATAGGAAGTGTCGTTACTATACCTTCTGGAAAACTTACTATTATGTAATGATATGTAATATGCTCCATAACTTGGCACGTGTCTTGTATTGTCTCTCACAAGACCAGGCTAGGAGTATGAGTTGGATTTGCTGAGAAGAAACTTAATCCAATACTACGCAACATTACCTGAAAAACCGCCTGGACAGTCCCAGAGACCTTTGGAGTCACGGGCGATCTCAGAACCAGAAAGGCAGTCAACATGATAGCAGAAACGATATGGTCCTTGGCAGTTACAGTTGTCATGATCAGATGTACCCCACTCGTCTCCCTCCTGTAAGGAACAATGGATATTTGAATGGATATTTCTGCATTAAAAAAACAATTTTTGAAACAACCAACCGTTGGCAAAAGCTGCTTTCGGATGATTGCAAGGTAATAGCAACACAATATACTGCCTGAACAAGATAAAAAAAACTATTGCTAAGATTGAAAACAGCAGGATGGCAGCTAATTGGCAACTCAACCTTTTCGACATAATGTACACTTATGCAGCAAATCGTAGAAATTTGTAGTACATGTAGTTTGTGCCTAAAGTAAAGACTTTTAAAGATTATAAACTTCATAATAAAGTGATTTTTTGCCCGAATGCTGCTTGCCACTAAAAAAAAACAAACACAGAATGATGAAATATTCGGCAGACTGAACATTAGGCAGATCTTTTACAATATATCTAGCACATTGTCTGACACATGTATCACATTACCTGATGGTCTTCACAACCTTTCATCTTGAAAAGTTTTTCATCATCCATCTCGGGGACGGCAGCATTTTCCTTCTCTTCTGCAACAGTAAGTGTCTCTAGGTTATCTGTTACCCAATTGTCAAGATCATTCTCGTTCCACAGTATTGACTATTGTAAACGTTTTTTTTAATGCCACCATATTTAAAAAAATGAAACATAATTTCAAACTACATTAGAAATACATACGTTATTTCAGCTCTTTTTAATATAACTTTAAGCAGGAGGAATCCATTACTGAGGCTTTCATATGGGATCCGTAAAAGGACTTATATAATAATAACTACCTGCGAGTTTCTGGAAAAAAGAAAGAAGATCCTCCACCCTCTCAATGACTTGTTGCTTGTCCACGGCAGCAGCTGCTGTTTGCCGAAGGCAATTATTAATATATTGATATTTCAAGGGTTTTTAAACAAATTATTACCATTATGATGCATACTCTATTTATTGGTTCTTGTCCAATCGCTCAAACTATGTTACATGTATTTTAAGCAATTGTTCAGCTTGAGTGTCTATTTTCAGTTAAAAAGACTGTAGATCCGAATTGAGAAAATAAGTTAAATAAATGTGGGATACAAAAAAAAATTCGGAACTAATGGTACCTGTTATGTCTCTTTTAGATGAATCAACTTCACATGTCCAGAGGCGGTTGGAGTCAGGTTTAATCTGAGAACCAGGAAGACAGACAACAGGATAGCAGATGCGATCTGATTCTCCACAGATGCAGTTGTCGTGGTCAGATGAGCCCCACTGTTCTCCTGGCTGTAAGAAAACATATTGAAATTTTACTCTTTTAGCTAACAATATATAAACTTACTTTTTCTGGAGAGCACTGATGGTGTTGATGTAGCGATTTAATGTAGCAAATATAATACTACATGTAGCAACTATAATGCAGATGCAGCACGCAGGTCAACACTTGTATATATTAATCCTACTCTTTACTGCTTGCCATTTTCCCTTGATGTTTTTAATTATCTGGCGAACTCGGATCGCGGAACCAAGAGGTCCCAAGTTCGAGTCCTGGCATGCAACCAATCTTGTGCCCTTGAGAAAGGTACTTTACACTACGTTCCTCACTTAACTCAAGTAAAATGAGTACTGTCTTGTCCTGTATTCGTCCTCAGATTTGTGGCGGCATAGAATAAGTTGATATAACTTGATTGTGCTGTCACCATGTCTAGTCATAAAATGTTGGAATTAAAAAAAAAATACCTGGTGGCCTTCACAACCTCCGTTTCTGACAAGTCCGTCGTCAGCTACCCCGCCGAGGTCGAGATCATTTTTGTCTGCAACAGCACGAGTCTCTGCATTATCCACTGCCTTAGGCTCAGGAGCATCTTCTGTGGCATATAGCATCCATCGTATCATAACCGTATCATGTTAGGGTATTCCAATTGTAATCTAGCAGCATCGTTACCGTCAACAATCTGCAGACAAAAAGCCAGGACTGAATACAAACAAATATGTGCATAAACTGCCAAGGAATACCTGGCAAAACTACTGGCCTACATCATCACTATCACCGTACCTTTATGGACACAGAAACCCTGGTACAAATTGAATTACTTTATTGGTAACAGTGGATTGTCCCCGTTCAATAATTGTTGGAAGGCAACGCTATGACTTTAGCCCTGCCATACCTGCCATACTAGGGATTCTCATTAGTTTGCTTTCAAGGAATGCCTAGCTGCAATGCATTCTGGGCAATTATAATGATATAAGACGTTACCAAACAATTACTAATGGCTCTCTTGCAGAAACAAAAAAACGTATGGTAAAATCTCTTACTACAATCGATAGGTGAAATTTGGCCAAGAGGATTTGAATTTGCAACATTTTTTTTATCATTGGTTTATCTCAAACACAAACACACAAATCACAATACAGCTCCATCACTAGGCAGCCACAAGGCTGAATTGTGTGAATAAAAGCTTTAGACAGTGAAATAAAATCCTGATCTTCATTCCGTGTTTTAAAAACAGTCTTTAAATTATATTAAAATCATGCATTTATACAGACTATTCATGATTTAAAATGTGAACAAGGTACGGTAATGTACTTCTGTTGTACTGCTCTGTGCGCGCTGGCAATTGGTCAAGTTTTACATGTTGTCTAGTCATCCTCCCACTGACACTACCCCTGGTTTGTGGCAGCCAGTGTCGGTAGAGGGTAGAAGCTTGTATATTGTTCGCAAACCGTCTGCACAGGGCTATTCTGCGATCTTCTAGAGTCTGTAGCTGTAGCATCTCCAGTGCTGACTTGTAGTTCGTGAACTCTTTAGCAAGGATGATTTTGGTGGCTCTTCTTTGTATGTTTTCAATCTTCCTTCTTTGTGCTTTGGTCAAACCAGGGTGCCAGAGAGGCGCGGCATATTCCAACACAGGACGGACGAAACAAGTATATATGGTGAGAAGATCTTCAACGGGCGGGTTGAATTGGCGCAAACGACAGAGCAAGTATAGCCTCTGGTTCCCCTTCTTGGTTGTTTCCTTGACGTGAGCGTCCCACTTCAAGTCCGCTTGAAATGTCACCCCAAGACACTTAGCTACACTGACAACAGCTAGCTGGTGACCATCGATGTTTAATGTAGGTGGCGGGGGAGGATTACGGGAGAAGCAGACCTGCATAGTTTTACACTTACCCGGGTTTAGTCTCATGTTCTTGTCGTTGGTCCAGCCGGATAGACGATCGAGGTCGTTCTGAATTCTAGATGGTTCAGATACAAGCCGGGACTCCACTAAGTTCAGATCGTCGACGAAAGCCCACGACGGGGAACATATAATGTCCGGTAGTTTGTTTACGTGAATGATTAACACGATCGGACCGAGTTTGGTGTGGGACAAAACCCCTCTGTACGAGTACCGTGTCCTCTGGCTTCTTCCTTCATGGAAACTACAAATCCACATATTTATTGGTCAATGTTTTATCCGTTGAATGCATCAATGGAAGCCACTTTGTTTTCATGCGTACATTTCTCACCGAGAGGAGCAGGGCTGCACAGTTTTTTTTTCTTGCCAGATGAAAGAGATACTAGCAAAAAAGGGAGAGGCAATGAATTTTACAGAACTTTGGGGCGTTTTCGTAAATGATTTTAAACTCTCTTCAAGTGAGATTTAATGTTTGAAGCTGTCTGATAGATTTGGATAATCTTAAGTAAACCATGAAGCTTACCTTGCAGTATCTGAAGAAGGCTCTTCTCCAGCATGCTCATGTCTACGTCGTTCTTATTGTTCTCAGCTACAGTGTCATCAGCTAATACGGTGTGGAGACAATGAGTACAAAATCTAGCTGGTTGACATATAATTTTGCAATTCATTTAGTTACATGTACGGCTAGGCTACATGTATATAGGATATACTTGAGAAAAGTCGTTAAGAATTGTTATTTATAACTCATAAAGAGCATCGCTAAGAATGCTAATAGAAGAGCCCGCTGATACCCAAATAAAGTTTCTCAATCCTTTCATTACTGAATATAATCGTATGTCCGAATCAATTAATAGCATAATAGCACGGGGTAACAGTTTTGGTTTACAAAGGTCAATAGGTTTTTAAATTGTCTCAGATTATGATTGAATTTCTGATTTATTTTCTTAGACTGGTGCGGTTTATCGAAGACGGGTTTGTACATTCCACTCCTTCAACCAATTATACTCTACTCGTGTGATGAATGACTGGAGGATTGTCTATAGGAAGTGTCATTACTATACCTTCTGGAAAACTTACTATTATGTAATGATATGTGATATGCTCCATAACTTGGCACGTGTCTTGTATTGTCTCTCACAAGACCAGGCTAGGAGTATGATTTGGATTTGACTGAGAAGAAACATAATCCAATACTACGCAACATTACCTGAAAAACCGCCTGGACAGTCCCAGAGACCTTTGGAGTCACGGGCGATCTCAGAACCAGAAAGGCAGTCAACATGATAGCAGAAACGATATGGTCCTTGGCAGTTACAGTTGTCATGATCAGATGTACCCCACTCATCTCCCTCCTGTAAGGAACAATGGATATTTTAGGAATCCAATGCAGTCTCCATTTATAAACCAATTTTTGAAACAACCAACAGTTGGCAAAAGCTACTTTTGGATGATTGCAAGGTAATAGCAACACAATATACTGCCTGAACAAGATAAAAAAAAACTATTGCTAAGATTGAAAACAGCAGGATGGCAGCAAATTGGCAACTCAACCTTTTCGACATAATGTACACTTATGCAGCAAATTTTAGAATTTTTGTAGTACATGTAGTTTGTGCCTAAAGTAAAGACTTTTAAAGATTATAAACTTTATAATATAGTGTTTATTTACCCGAATGCTGCTTGCCATTAAAAAAGCAAACACAGAATGATAAAATATTCGGCAGACTCAACATTAGGCAGATCATTTACAATATATCTAGCACATTGTCTGACACAAGTATCACATTACCTGATGGTCTTCACAACCTTTCATCTTGAAAAGTCCTTCATCATCCATCTCGGGGACGGCAGTATTTTCCTTCTCTTCTGCAACAGTAAGTGTCTCTAGGTTATCTGTTACCCAATTGTCAAGATCATCTTCATTCCACAGTATTGACTATTGTAAACGTTTTTTTCAATGCCACCATATTAAAAAAAATGAAACATAATTTCAAACTACATTAGAAATACATACGTTATTTCAGCTCTTTTTAATATAACTTAAAACAGGAGGAATTCATTACTGAGGCTTTCATATGGGATCCGTAAAAGGACTATAAGAATAACTACTACCTGCGAGTTTCTGGAAAAAAGAAAGAAGATCCTCCACCCTCTCAACAACTTGTTGCTTGTCCACGGCAGCAGCTGCTGTTTGCCAAGAGCAATTATTAATATATTGATATTTCAAGGGTTTTTAAACAAATTATTACCATTACGATGCATACTCTATTTACTGGTTCTTGTCCAATTGCTCAATTTTTTTTTTAATTGACGCAATGCTGTTGATCCCTGGGTCATTTTGATGCTTGCATGGAATCCAACGGATAGCCATGTATACTAGGCTTTTGGTGAACAAGTTTTTTTGTCTCTTTTTTATGAATTAGTTATATCATTTGGTAAGAGTGTAAGTTCTCTAAACTCTAGTTTTAAACCTATTGGCTGTTGTTAAGAGCAAACTGTTCTTAAGGGACCACCTTTTGCAACAAACAGTTTTAAAATGTGATTCTTATATCATGGGGAATTTTGCTAATATCTCCGATCTAACGGCAATGCATGATGTCAACAGTTGCCAATAAGATAATTTACACTTGTTTTATTTTGAAATGTCATTGGCATTCATTGGCCTAGAATGAAAAAATGAAGCTACTTAAAGGAAAAATCCCATCCATTGTGCCTACCATGTTGGACCGATATAGACAACACTGAACGTTTTTAACACTTAACAACAGAAGGAAGACTGTTATTTCTCCGTTTTCTCTATTGATATTATAGAGGTGTAGAGTGTATGAAACTTGCCTGAGCAGGTAGCTGGAAGGAGTAGGACACATAGAAGCGAGATGGCTCCGAAAACCCTCATGATGGGTCTTCTCTCTGGAACATAACAATTGTTAATAACACTGCTTCTCAACGATTTATATGTGACTTTGTTTGACTTCCCAGTCTTTTTATTATCCATGGTAGGCTGAGAAATACATAATGCCCTGTAAAATGTTAGACCAGGGATCATCAGTTTTGGGTCATTAGTTTTTGGTTATTTTGAATCAACTACTGGTCCCAGTCTGGTTATGTGGTTTTCTGGTGCTGTTGAGCCCCTCCGACAGTTTTCCCGGCTGTTTTTTTTATGAATAAACAACGAGAAACTAGCAAAGGAATTCCTTTTTGGGGGGGGGGGAGAAGTACGGCAAAGAGTGCACTTGCCGACCATGGCGTCCTAAGTTTCTCTGTAGACTTAAGGCAGTTCAAAGATACCTCAGCACAGATCTCATTATATTATTACAATAAGGCAGTTGGGTATTATTGTAATGGCTCTGTGACAAGCTTCGTGCTTGTAAATATGTAGTAGTGATTATTGAGGCTAGTTCCCCGCACAAATGCATCGCCTTCAAGTTTGCATTAGAATGGCGCGCTAGTTTTACCTGGGAAGCTGACATGTGCCCCTCTGTGTTTCTATTATACAGTAATAGTATTACGGACGACCAGGAGTATTTAAAGGATATGAAAGAGAAATGAACAGGAGATAAGTGTTGCATTTCAAGGGAAATCAAATGTAATGTTTTTTTTTGGGGGGGGGGCGTAGTTGTTGTAATTTTCTTCCTTGCTTGATCTTTGCCCTTTGTACATGATTTAGGGGAAAGTAACATACACCGTGTGGTGGCAATTTGAGCTTTTTGGTACCTTAAATCAGAGATAGTCCACTATACTACCAGTAAATCAAGCTAAAAGTACCACATACAATCATCAAGGAGGCTCCCTATAAACCTCCTTGCAATCACCAAGCAGATGTAGAAACTTGAAAGACAAACTTGTATATTTAATATTTCTCGAGCTTCAACATGTTTTAGCAAGTCCTTGTTTTAAGCAAGGCTTTCTTGTTTCAGCAATATTTCATGTGTATCTTTTTTTAAAATCAGAACACCTGCCCTTCCCTGACCCCTCCTAGCAGTAAACAGGGAATGTATGAATTGCTGGGTACTTCTGCACAATGTCATGTAACACCCGCACACTGTCTTTGCTTTGAGATAAGTTGTAGCTACAAAACAAACATGTCGGTCAATGCATAATAAGCCCCAAACCTTTTAATGACACAAGGGCAAATTAAAGATAATTACTGGCCACGTAGGTGCTAATTACGGCTTGTCAACGTGATTGATGAGCAGAATCACTACAAATATGATTTATTGGGCAACATCTGATAGTCCAAACTTCAAACCATTTTAGAAAACTATAGCCATGACCTAAAATTGCAGGAATGGAAATGAAATGATTTGTAATGCCCTGTTGTACATATGGCTGAAGTAGAAGAAAGGTTAAAATAAAGAATTGACAAGCTAACGCGTAGCCCCTGTGGTAACATGCGGCCCATGTGCAAATGTCCTTTCTGTCGATAACGTTTTACCCACAAGACTTATATATTTTAGTTACGTAAAAACAACGCCTAAAGGTAAAATCTAATGATCTGCCTTTAAGAGATTTTAGAAAATAGACAAGTCGTAGCCGACATCATCACTTCATAAAATAATTGTGGCTTTGTTATCTTTCGGTGTATTTTTTTTCACTTATGTCAATAAGGATATTTAAGTCACATTCTTCGAATATGCAGCCATATGCTCATCCGATTCTTTCATTCAACAGTGCTCTTTAATCTTTTTGTTTAGTCACTTGTAGTCCTTTGAAGTCCTAGTGGTTGTATACAATTGTGGAATTAATGGGTAGGTTTTGATTTTGTGCATTACCAAGTTTTGTTCTATATCATGTCTTACTAGCAATGTACACAAAAGGCAACGGAAACAACAGATTGAATAGTATTTGGTGCCTTGTAAAACTATTTCGATAATCGTAACAAAATCAGGTGGACATATTGTACATACATATATATATATATATATATATA